GGAATATCTCCCGATATCATTCCAGTGATCATAATCCACTTGTCCAATATACATCGCTACTGCTACACCATTTATGATCCTACTCGGAGCTGAGGCTTTCAACAAAGGCAGCAATAGAAATGTTAGGAGGAACGTACCGAAATAATTCACTTGCATGGTGAGGTTCAGTCCGTCCTCTGATAAGCGATCGGGTAGTCCAAACGCTCCCGCATTGTTGACTAAAACGTCGAGTCTTTCTCCTGTATTAAAGGTTTCGTGGGCGAAACTTCGAACAGATTTCAATGATCCAAGATCAAGCACTCTGTAAGCAACGTTAGCGTTTCCAGTTACGTTTTGAATTCGGTTTCTTGCTCGAATCAATTTAGTTTTATTTCGACTTGCGATCACGACTCTTGCTCCGCGATGGGCTAAGTTCTTCGCGGCTTCGAATCCAATTCCTGAACTTCCACCAGTTACTATGGCTACTTTGCCGTCAAGTCTACCTTGAGTATCACACATTTCTTAAAAAATCACTAGGATCGATATTAAAACGACGAAGTTAACATCTATACTGCCCTCAAGGCGGAAACACATTGTACATAAAGGTCTGTAATATTTATTTCTTGTTATTTTTATCTTGAAATAAAAGGTCCTGCTCGTACTTTTTAGTTTAACTCGACGTATTGTCGCTTTTAATCTCGAAATTCGTTGCAAATGGGTAATATTTAAAAAAAAAACAACGGTGGATTCAAAATTTGTTTTTTTTTCTATCCTAAGCCACCGCTTGACTATTATCCCACTTGATGGTAGTGGTGATGGAGCCGTAGAAGTGTAAGCGACTTAGCAAAAGCCTATTCACTCTTGCCCTGAAGACACCCACATTGTCATCATATGGAAAGACTGATGCTGGCAACTTATTCCACTCCTTTGCAGTACGCATAACGAAAGGGTCGAGACTGGACGAGCGTCTGGTTGTCCGATGGCAGAAGGCAAGATGGAATTAAGTTATGCAATTCCTGCGCACACTCCCCGAAATGTATCCTATTTTCTATATGGTTTTCTACCGAAAAGGCTGGCTACTACATGCCTGTGTTCATTTTTTTTTATTACAATTGCATATTACATAACTCTTTCGATTAACTTAACTACACGACTCTATCTCATTAAAGTCAGCGCACGCCAAAGCTGTTATTCAAACTATTGAAAAAAATGGTATTGATGAAACAATGGTGTGAAATATTAAAGGTGATTGCGGAAAATTAATTAGAATAGAAGATTTATTGTCCAATCACACCTGGGAAACTTCTGTTAAACGTGTCTCATTAAATATATTAACCAGAAAAAGGAATTATATCTTTACTAACAGTAACTGGAGCCGTGGTAGCTCAGATGGTTAGTGCTCGCTGTGAATTTCGCAGTACGCGAGCAAACCGGGTTCGATCCCCGAAGGCACCAACGATTGCAATTTTAAGTGCTGTTTTACCACGTGCTCGGCGACAAAGCAAAAAACTTTTAGGAAACTTGAATGTCTGACAAATAATAGAAAACAAAAATATTTCGAAGACATGTGAAATTCGCCAACACCCATTGGGCAGCGCGGCGGACAATTCCTTGCCCTAAAACTTTCTCAGAAATGAGCAAAAGCCTGTGCCCAGGAGTGGGACGTATATAGAACTTTAACTTTAGCTTTAACAGTAACTATTCACCGTTAAATAATCCCAGTGTACTATAGGTGTACTTACAGGTGTATTGTGCTCATTTTCGTCTCATCATCTCGAGGGTAATAGATGAAAATCAGTGTTTGCCCTCCGAGCAATATTAATCGTTAAGATAGGACCAACACACATGTACCTATTTTAAGATATTAATATTGTGTAATTTTTTTGTAATGCGTTACTTTGTACCGAATTAATTCAGTAAATTTAGGTGCGTGATTGGTGAAACAAATGAGTGCTTTATTTACCTATCTATTAAAATCGGGATCGGGGAAATCATTTTATTCATTTTTTTACTAGTAATGAGGCATCCCATCTACATTAAGCGTGACAACGCATCTGTATTTTGATTCGAAGTTGAGGATAGATGTAGATATCTATGGATAACGGCATCCACTCATCAGGTAGACTATGTGATCGTTTGCTCCCTTGTTCTATAAAAAAAAAGAAAAAAACAAAACAAGAACTAGAATGTAACAAGAACGTTTGACTACAATATACACTACTAAAACCCCTCGTAGAGGTTGCGCTCCAGCTTAATATGCACACAATGTCTTCGACTTTGTTTCGATTAAAACAAGTGACGGTGTCTTAGAGTTACAGTGCCTTTTGAATCAATTAATAACCATTGTTCTTCCATACCGGAGGCATATAGTCTGTATGTACGTGTAACATATATGATACGTTGACAGAAACGTAGGTCCAAAACCATATGTGAGTAAAGAAAATCCACGACTTTTTCTGCCAAGTCGTGAATGCCATGTGAAGAAATCAATATTATTTATGAAATATTAGTTATATTTTATTTAATTAGATATAAAAACAGATAAACCAAACTACAGATAAACATAAAAGCATCTCGACAACAAAGGGATGGAGACTAGCCAAGCGTCTGGTGATCGGATGATGAAATGGAGGGAGGAATTAAGTCATTCAAAGTCAGTAATTGCATAATTTAATTCATCCATAAAAACTTCGGTTATTTTTAATGAAACAAGAGAGAAAACAGTGTTACATAGTTGTCTGCAGTCATTGCGTTTTGTTCGAGGCTATTGTTAGGCTCGATAAACACCATTTATCAATCAATATTGCTATATACGTAATTAAAACCAGAACAAGCGAGTTGTTCTATAAGTTGAGCGAAATGTCAGCAGGTTTTATATTTCTTTCTTATTAGTCTGGAGACTTCTCAAGTTGTGTTTAAATGCACTTGCATAAAATCGTTTTTTTATTTATTTTCATTTTTCTTTTTATTAATTTATTTATTTTTACTGGAATAGTGCTTTATTCGTGTATAATGTCCTTTAGACTCAATTTTGGTCACGGCCGTCTCAACGGAGACTAGATATTTGCGCAGCATAGAATTATAGTGCCTGAGTGTACTCTATTCTCTCACTGTCATGGTCAGATGGGACGGTAATCCGACATAACGGCAGCTTTCCGAGATACGGGAGTAATGAACCGCTGTGCATCGCAAATATTTTTGTATACCTACTAAAGTTGAGAGCATTAACCCAAGGTCAACCTTATGTTTAGGGCTTCATTTATAATATTTTAATTTTGTGATTCATACGTGATAGAGCCAAGCCACAGCTATTATGGTTGTAGCATGAATGGGTTGGCTTGACCGGGGAAGGACCACGCACTCACAAAATACCAGCTTAAAATAGTAGCCCAATGCTGCTTGCTGTGATTCGTACGGTGAGTGTAGAGATCCGGAGACCAGTTTCACTGGAATCGAGGCATTTCATCTTTCTCTTTAAGAGTGAAAACGCATCTGCATTTTGATTGTTAATCGAGGGTAATTGTAGATGCCACTGCATCCACTTACCATCAGGTGGACTGTGTGCTCGTTTGTCACCCTTATTCTATAAAAAAATAACTAGGCTAATATTTGACAAAGATCCCAACTGATAAAAAGTGGTGATAGCTTTTTAACGGTATTAAAACGTTAGCCTAGAAAATGCCAATACACTACTGCCTTGTATAGTCCCAAATTGTAGAGGTCAGGTAAGACCGTTGCAGGAAATTTCGATGTTTATTATCATAATAACCAGTTATTATACAGTTTTGTTTTATAAAAAACTTAAACTTGTTGATTGACAGACCTTGTATATTTTTGGCACTTTGTTGTTAATAGCGTTTACATTGCCCCATAAATGAATTTCTTTAATATACGTTAAAATAAAACTAGAATTATCTTTTGTATTGTGAAGGCAGTTTAGGCATATACCTACATAAATTGCATAAGGACACACATGTAGACCTGGGACAGTTATTTGTATGCCATACAAATTTACAAATACTTGTTCCTTGGGATTCGAGCTTGCCCCCAACACCGCATCTCAATACTAAGTTCTGCGCTTTGGGGCCGTCAATTACTGACTTGTAGAGTCAAGAATTTTCCATAATCGTCGGCAGACGAATTATCGATTGAAGTCCCAGAGATCACCCTTCCTTTGACGCAAATCTTCGTTGGTCTGTTTTTTTTATGTTGACTTGAAGTTTCGTAATTCATATCAATTTTACATTTATGAGATATTGCTATTATAATAACACAGGCGCTTTTAGATATCTACACGGATAAATAAAATTTAAGTTTTTTTTTATAGAATAAGGCTTGCAAACGAGCACACAGTCCACATGATGGTAAGTGAATGCTGTGGTCCATAGAAATCCACATTTATTCTCGATTAAAAATCAAAATGAAGATGCGTTATCACCCCTGAGGACTAAGATGGAATGCCTCGTTTCCAGTAATAAAGGGTCTCCGGATCTCTACACTCACTATACGAAAAACAGCAGCATTAAGCTGCTATTTTACGCTGGTATTCTGTGAGAGCGTGATCCTTCCCCGGCCGAGCCGACCCATTCGTGCTACAACCATAATATAGCTGCAGCGTGGATCTACCACGTATAATAGAAATGTGTTATATTAAGTTGAGGAGGTTATTCGCTTACCATTAAGATATGAATTACTTCTAGAAAAATTCTTGTCCGTCTGTCTGTTAGGAATAACCTCCGGAGTGGTCAAATGGATTGTGATAAAACTTAACTTATAATAAAAAATACATATTTTTATTATAGAAAAAATGCATGTTATTATACAATCAAAATAGAAATGGACTAGACACATTTAAAATTGATTTAAGTATAAGTCTACATAATTCAAAATAAAATAAAAATTAAGAATGATCATTTTTTTCAAACGAAACATATATATAAAAACTAGGCCACCATTTGCTAAAAAAACCTGGGGCACCAAAAAGTAAATCCGTTGATAATAACAAAACTGTTAGTAGAAAATCACAATAGTTGATATAAAGAGTCCGGAGTGTTACGTATAAGATCGGCGGCCTTTTCAGCCATCGCAACTAGCACAGAGTTCGGGTACAGCGAGATTGGTGTTGGAAGTACACTCGCGTCCATTATCCTCAAGCCGGAAACTTTCTTAACTCTGAAATATAATGCAGTAATCATTAATGTGAACGTAAAAGCAGAATAGGGGAAATACGGGGAAGGACCACGCTCTCACAGGATACTAGCGTAAAGAAGCAGTGCTGCTGTGTTTTGTATGATGAATGTAGAGTAACGAAGATCCTTTTTACTGAATAGCAGCTTAATGTTTCTGTGTTTTGTATGGTGAGTGTAGAGTAACGCGGATCTTTTATACTAACTAGCAGCTTAATGTTTCTGTGTTTTGTATGGTGAGTGTAGAGTAACGGGGATCCTTTATACTAACTAGCAGCTTAATGTTTCTGTGTTTTGTATGGTGAGTGTAGAGTAACGGGGATCCTTTATACTAACTAGCAGCTTAATGTTTCTGTGTTTTTATGGTGAGTGTAGAGTAACGGGGATTCTTTATACTAACTAGCAGCTTAATGTTTCTGTGTTTTGTATGCTGAGTGTAGAGTAACGGGGATCCTTTATACTAACTAGCAGCTTAATGTTTCTGCGTTTAGTAAAAAGTAAAATATGAACAAAGTACAAACAAACTATGTACAAAATTAAAAAAAAAAACAAATAATTTACATTCTAATGGATAAGAGATAAGATAAGATAAGTGAAGTCGTCTCGCTTTCAAGAAAGATATTAGTCCGCGTAAAATGTTGGTGAACGTTTTAATTGTACCAATAACTGTTTTTTTAATTGCGATAATTGACAAGTCTGAAATACGCTCTTGACCTTGTGTATTATCTCAACAAAGTTTAAAGATTTTACCTTTTCCTCTCCGATTAGCACTTTAACACACTTCAATTCATCACAAGAAACACCATTATCCTCCATTTTCATTAAAAATCTTTAAAAAAGCATTAATTTTGAACTCTCGTCTTCTCGAAGGCCCCGTAAAAAGCCCACGCGAGCGAGGGAGACAACTAATCGCTCTATTAAAACTCATTTTTTATGACAGCAGCAGCACTAAGGCAATACGAGGTCATCGGTCGACCTGTGTCGAACAGTGGAGTGCGCGGGAAATTTGAAATAGTTTGAAAAAGTTTACGAGTTATTTTATTAGTTGATATTATTGATTGATTCAGTTTGATAAAGCAAGCCCAGCTTTTCGGCTATTATGGAGGCTTTGCCACTGGGCTAATTTAATAAAAACAAAAATAAACTAGAACAACAGCCTTCAAGAATATAACGTACCTCAGTTCCTCATCTACCACAGTGCCTGCTGAGCAAGTGCCCGCAACATGGTGTCCCGTCACAGCGACTTCTCTCACCACGCACTCCAAATAAGCATCTGGAGGACTCAAGGTCTTTGCTGTTTTATTCCCAGATGCTGCTTCTTTGAGTTTCTTGTCGCGTTTGAATGATTTGAATCTTTTGATAAATTAAATTATATTAATATAAACGAAACTTAACGATGCTTACAACATTCATACGTCTATGACAGCCAACAAGGTTCTCTGCTGAACATAGGCCTCCCCTATAGATTGACTCATAAGGAGGATTCTGCCATAGTTATTATTTTGAGTTGCTACCCGGAAGACGTTGTTGACGATCTCCTGTCTCTGTTTCTGACAATGCTTGACAATAGAAAAACTAATTCGTTTGTTCTAGTTTTCAATCAACCTTGCCATTTCCTTCTTCATTCTCTTCACCTTTTATGGAATGACACTTGATGTGTAGTATATATAATTAAATGTAATCTTTTAAATTAGTTCAGCTGTTTCCGAGAAATCATGAGTGAGCATATGTTGAAACCATACGCGTCAAATATACCTCCTTCTATAATATATAGAAACTCCTTCTAATTTGAAGACGATCAAAAAGAATTAAACAAACTTAACATAGACTTAGAATATACTGACGTAGTATGTAGTCTATGAAAGTCTATGAAACTTAATATGACGAATATACAAACAATACACAAGCTTAATGTTATAGGCTATAAATCTAGAATCTGACGCTGGATATTCTTTGCAATGCGTGCCATGAATATCAAATAAAAGTCGTGGTAGCTCGGGAACTAAGCCTTTGCTGTAAATTTCACAGTATGCTAGCAGATCGGACCGGCAGGCCGGACCGATCTCCGCGGACACCAACGAAGTTTTTAATTGCAATTTTAAGTGCTGATTTACCACGTGCTCGGCGGTGAAGGAAAACAAGGAAACTGTATGTTCAAGGAATGAAAAATCGGCGGACTAATTACTTAATCCTCTTTGATATTATGAGAGGCAACAGTGGATTTGGGCTGCAACTCTTTCTACACGAATGAAAAAATATCCTTGCTAGACGCAACAAGAATACCAATGTAAAATGTGTTACTGTTACTGTTTCGTATGGTATTTTTTATATAGAAGAGGGGGTAAACGAGCATGCGGTTCACCTGATGGTAAATGACTACCGCCGCCCATGATCAACTGCAACACCAGGGGAATTGCAGATGCATTGCCGACTTTTTAAAAATAGTGGCTTGTTTTGAAGGTCCCTAAGTCGTGTCGGTCCGGACAAATCGCCGATGGTAGTCGATTCCGCGAGGAAGTTGTGCAAGGAAGAAAACTTCTTTTAAATCGCACAGTGATGGATCGCCAATCATCCAGATGTTATGGACGGTATCGCGAGTTTTGTAGCGATGAGAATAGGTATGTGACAAGAACTCAAGACCCTTTGTCTTGGTAATGAAGCATTCCATATTAGTCTTAGCCTTCTAGGAAGACAATACAACGCATTTTGATTCTTAATCCAAAACAGATATAGGTGATTTTTTGCTACAAGATCCAACTATTAGGTGAGTTATGTATTATTTTTACACATGCCATACGAAACTACAGCATTAGGCTGCTATTTTACACTGGTAATCTGTGAGGGCGTGGTCCTTCCCCGGTCGAGTCGATTAATTCGTGCTACAACTATAATATAGCTGCAACGTGGCTCTACTATGTATAAATACGTATCGCTATATACCTATGTGTATACGTACAACTCGGCACAAATCTCCTCTGTGGTTTAGGAATGAGTTCCACCGCCAGAAAATCCTAGTCTGGAGGTAACGTTTTACAAAAGAAAGAAAGAAAAGTGGTGTCCACCGCGCGGCCTCAGTGTGTTTTGGCAGATTTTACATGTCTTCGAAACTTTGATTATAGGCAGGCATATATATATAGATATATAAATTCATAACTGACATCTTACCTCTTTCGCCTTGGTTTCACTCCAGTCTGATCTTCTACAGAGTACTTCCAGAAAGAGAGACACCGCTCTGGTCTCGGCCAGTGTATCCTCGCCCCGATCTCTTGGAAAACTTTCGTGGACACCAAACGTTCCGCTCGCCTCATAGCTGCAAAGATCAATAGAATACCAATCAAAATACTTCCAGATACTGCTGTGTATTATGTGATGAAGCCACGCTGCAGCTACATAACAGTTGCAACACGAATGGCTCGGTTCGACCGGGGGAAGACAATGCTCTCCCTGAATACCAGCGTAAAATAGCAGCTTAATGTTGCTGTGTTTCGAGTGTAGAGAACGGAAGACCCTCTTTAGTGGAAACGAGGTATTTCATCTTAGTCCTCAGGGGTGACAACGCATCTGCATTTTGATTCTTAATCTAGAAAAGAAGCTTACCATCAGGTGAACTGTGGGCTAGCTTGTCACCCTTATTATATATGAAAAAAGGACATACGTAAGTATCTTTGGGCCACAACATCCACTTACCTTCAGGTGAACTATGTGCTTGTTTGTCAGCCTTATGCTAAAAAAATCATACCTTTCACCATGCAGGCAACGTCGTAGTACTGATGCAGGTAGTTGGTGTCAACAACGGCCGGTATTGAGGTGCTGGAGTCTCTGAGAGTGACGGATCCACGGCTCCGCGGCTGAACACACGTCGCAAGAAACATGAAGCCTTCCTTACGGGTATCGTTGTGGAAGGGATATGTGTCCCGGTACACCTTGAATGTAATGGTATGAAGAGCGCTAAGTAATGGCTGTTTTAAGAAGTTAGCACTTGATTTCTTTTTGAAACAAAGTAATTTTCGACGATATGATGGATGATCATATGTTTAGATGTTTTATTATTTGCAATTTTAATGTATTATTCCTCTATTTGCAGGATGAAGTGGCAATGGGCTGGTCACATTTGTCGCAGAAGCGGTAACCGTTGGAGTAGGCGTGTCATAGAGTGGAGACCGCGTTTAGGTGAACGTAGTGTGGGACGCCCCCTGGCTAGATGGAGCGACGATCTGCGCAAGGCGGCTGACAGCAACTGGATGCGTGAAGCCGAAGATTGGGCTAAGTGGCGCGCCCTGGGAGAGGCCTACGTCCAGCAGTGGACTGCCGCAGGCTGATGATTGAAGTATAGGTATAATATATGTGGCGGTGCTGTCATCGCGCCGCAAGCGAAACATACCGAAGCCTAAATCACGCAATCATCAAAATTCTGAATCATAAACAGAATATATAGATCATCTCCGAACTATCACACGGAGCGTTGGCCACTCCCGGGCAGAACACCTTGCCCGGCGGGAGATCTCCCCTTTTCCTTCTACGGCCACAGTGGTGACCCCGACGTGATCTGAACACGCAACCAACAACCTTCGGAAACTTCAAGCTTCATCATCGTCATAGAATACATGATCATTTTAATGATACATATGATATAATATATTGATGTTGTGATATAACATGTTTATATTAACATACACTATATGTATAGATTTTGTATGTTATATTGTATATTATATGTAATTGCACCTGCTACAAAATCTCATCACTTCACGAGTTGACTAGCAGAGAATTTCGGTAGACTTAAAGTCAGCCCTTTATTACCCTGACCATTAAGGGACTAACAATAAAGACTAAAGAAGTGAAAAAAACATGCCAGCAGCTCACATGCGACAAAAGTGAAGCCTTCAATTGAAATGAAATATAAAAAAATATAAAATACAAATACTTTACGGCAAATTATTTATTTAATATTATTATTTAAACTACAAGTTCGGCATAAAATACAAGAAAATTTAATTTTACAGTAAATAAACGTAACAATCCTTTTAATATAATTAGACACATAGATATAATGGGTGCGTTTGGCAGAAAAAAGCGCTAGCAAAGCGCTTGCTAGCGCTTTTTTTTGTAAACAAAATGGCGATCGTAAGCGGTAAGCGCTGTCAAATCGTAAGTAGCTATTTTCCTCCAGGACACGATGTTAGTTTTAACCGGGGAACCTAACCTAATTTAAATATATGTTTGTAAAGTATTCATATTAAAAACTTACCAATCATGAATTTTTAATAACATGTATATGTCTATTCATGTCATTATGTAACTTAAAACTAATATTGCACAAAACAACTTATATTTTCTACTTCAAAACAAACAAATTAAATAAGCAAAATGGCGAATTGTGTCAGCGCTACTGAAGTAGCAATCGTGTCCTGGCCGAAAACTATTTTAGCGCTTGTAAGCGCTTGCTAGCGCTTTTTTCTGCCAAACGCACCCAATTTCTTTCGTAAAACTATAATAGCACCACCTACTTCATTCTACAGGGGAAACGAAACTACCTACTACCGGTTTTGATGGTTCTTTTTTTATTATAATTAGTGTGACTCATTTATTTTATTTAAGCAACATATTTTAATCCGACCATGTTTAAAATATGTATCTCAAATGCTACTCAATTTTAAGATGCCGTTTAAGTCTCGTGCTGTCTCTTGTCAGTGTCTTAAAATTGTTTAAAAGAGGTTTAATAATACTTTAGGGGATATAGTAAGTCAGCTCAAATTCTAATTTCGCCCCCCACTTCCCCGCGCGTCGTATGTTATGTACCGACATGTTTGTAATCACTAATACTGTAAGTAGAAAGGTCGTTAGATACTTATTTCATTAGGTTTATCATATTTATGCCTGTTTCTTAACGCTAACCCAGTCGCTGCTTATTTTTATAACGGTTATTTCCCATTTTAATTTTACGTCGTCCTGTTGCGTAATATGTATTCTGATCGTAAGCGTCACAACTCCTCCCTTCAAAAGCCGGAGCGATACTAACGGGGCGATAGGACAAGCTTACGCGCCGATAGTTTAGGTAATTTCTTTTTACAGTGAAAATAATGGTATTTAAAAAAAAGTAAATAACATAAACACTGCTTTATAGTTAGTTCAGTTAGTACGCAAAGTTTCATGATCCTATTTAAAGTATTTTATGAATAACAGCGGTTTATTGTTCAGTTTGGAGGAAGTTTGGATTTTTTTCTATCGAGAAAATTTTACGGAATCGTGTTTTCGTCTAACATAGTCCTTAACATTAATCCTGAACTTTACCATATATTTATTTCAAAATTAATGCTGCAATAATTTCGGCATAACGGAGGATCTTGCTAAGCCATTTGAGGTTATATTTCCCCTTAACAGCATGACACTGAAAATATAATTAAAAATAACTTTAATAAAAGTAAAAGGTGACTTCATAAAACTAAAAAGAATAAAATAATTTCACAATACGATGTCTGCGCTAAGGCATAGTGTCATTTCTTAAAATGAAAACCAGGCTTAAATTACACACTAAGCACTTGTCGTTTCTCAGTTGCATTTGCCACTCGCACTTGTCACTTCTCAAATGTAAACCGAGCCTATGAAATATTACGTAGCTCAGACAATTTTAAAGTCTATCTATAATCAAAATCGTTTTACTATAGTAAAAAAATGTATATTGCTCGTCATATTACAAAAACCCGTTCTAATTCTAATTCCATAGTTTTCTATTCTATAGTATTCTATTTATAAGTCTAATTAATAAACAATGCATCATTATTAAAAAAAATAATGATACGAAGCCCAGTCAGCGAACTAACGGTGTTATCTATGGTCATGACCTTTAAGCTCCTGGGTCAGTTGAATCTTGTACGGGTGTAGGCCTAAGTCCCGACGCAAAATTCACCAAGTTGAAGTCTGCAAAAGGTCGAGTTCTTGTGCACGGCGAGGAATCGACTGCCTCGGGTTCTGCTGTACACTTTCACGAACCGCGACAATGTTCTCGGCCGATCTTGCGTTTCTTGAACGTACGGGTGTTGGCTGATTGTTTATCGAACCGGACGTTTCAAATTTGGTCACCAAACATTGAAGAGTCGACTGTGAAGGGCCACCACGTCTACCGTAAAATGAGCGCAATGCGCGCAACGTTTGCACTAACGAGCACTCATTTGGATAATAAAGTTTTATCATTTGAACGTGCTGATCAATTGTGTAACTTGCCATGGTGATTTGGCATAAGTAACTGAATAATAAACAAAAGATTGGTGCACGTAGATTTTGGCCGCTACGGGCCGTCAAAATCTACCCGCACCAATAGAAAATATAAAAAAACATACCTTTATAAAAAACATACAAAGCAATTGGAATGAAGGAGGTGGTTTGCCTCCTTTTTTTGAAGTCGGCGAAAAACAATAATAAAACAACCTGATGTTTATAATTGGACAAGTCTCGTAGCAGCCGCTCGCTGGTGGAGCCCATGGAGAACAGCATCACAGCAGACGTGTTATGGTACTCCACGCCGGCCAGTGGAGGAAACGCTAGGTACCCTGATGGAAAATCAATCGTATTATGAATTGTAGCTGTGAGTCCAAATAAAAAGAAAGTAGACCACTATAATCATATTCATTTTATTCAAGAATAATTTTTTGAACGCAAACAGAGTTCAAAACGAGCACATATTCCACCTGATAGTAAATGGGTTTTGTGGCTCATAGACTCGAAGAAGAATTATTATAACGCAGATGCGTTGTCACCCATGAGGACCTTAGTCCATCTTAATGGATTACCTCGTTTCCGATAAAAGGGATCACCGGTTCTCTACACTCACTATACGAAACACAGTAGCATTAATCTTTTATTTCACGCTAGTATTCTCTGAGAGGATTGCTCTACCCCGTACGAGTCGACCTATTGGTGCTGCAACCATAATATTGACACACAGTTTACAATTCCATTGAAAACTTTTTGCGCGCGAATTGTATATTGTTCCTCCATATCTGCTCACCTTCTCTCCTCCAAATGTACTCCCAAAGAGTGCTAGCCGTGAAGACTTTCGCCAGTGTGACGCTTATTGGCTTCTTAATGCTGACGTAGATCGGCATGTTCATGTGGTCGTGGAGGTTGGTGCCGACGTGTTCGTTTTCTGCTACCAAGCCTATTCTCAAACTGAAAAAGTAATAGAATAGAACAGAATATAACGGAATAGAACAGGACGGTGAGGGATGGGTTTTGATTTTTGGATTTAACCAATTCACCACTGTCTGGGAAATTTATTAGCTGTACGTGGGTCTATACGTTTGTGAAAGAAACAGACAATTATAAAAAAAAAATCATACCGTCTTATTAAATCTCGCGGTCCGATTCCAGACAGGATCAACACTTGTGGTGTTTTTATCGCACCAGCTGACAGGATGATTTCCTTGTCGACAAATATGTTGTCCAGACTTCGTTGATTTTGCAGGATGTATAGAGAAGATGCCGTCAGGTTATCAAAGCGTATCTGTAAATACAATGATAGTAGAATATGGCTATAGTTTTAGGTTTGAATCCCGAATCTGTTAAAAAATCGGCAAAACGCTGTTCCGTAGTATGACCTATGTATCTCTGTCTGTATGTGTTACTAAATTGAAATAACGAAGGGTTGGAGTCTGGTCTGGTCGTCTGATAATGGAATGACGAGGTAGGAATTCAGCTATTAATAAGAATTAAGAACTTTATGTAACGATAGTACTGATGTATTGCCGTTTGTAATCAAGTCGAACAAAGATATCTTTCTTTCTCCTCTTCTTCTCGTAAAAGTCTTTGTATTATTGGGTGTATCTAACTCAATTGCCACACTTAGCATCGTAGTACTAGATATCTCGAGTTTGACGCAGGTTCCTCCAGGTCACCCGTCTGGATATTTTACGTCTGGAGTAAAAGATAGTTATACAGCCCTATATCTATTCGAAGCTATGATATGTCGATAAACTTGCATCGATACTTTTTTGGGTATCTCTACTTATACGTGCCGCCTGCACCCCCACTGATTGATAGACAGGGACGCAACTATAATACTGCGTGCTTGACAAGGACAGCCTGAGAACTACGTCCAGAAACGTTGAACCCTCACTTTATGGTATTTTATGATTATTAAATATTTCACTTACCGGTGAAACGTGATTTAATCCTTCTTGAAATTATGTTTCCTTCTATCATTACCATAAATTATTATATAACTATCGGAAATACCAGCATCTGGAATTTCCAATAGTCGCCCTTTTGCGACACAGGTGTCGATTTTTTTATAGAACAAGAGTGACAAACGAGCTCATAACGAGTCCACCTGATGGGAAGTGGATGTAACGCAGATGCGTTGTCACCCCTGAGGACTAACATGGAATGCCTCGTTTCCAGTAAAATAGGGTCTCCGGATCTCTACACTCAACATACGAAATACGAAACACAGCAGTATTAAGTTGCTATTTTACGCTGGTATTTGTGTGAGAGCGTGGTCTTTCCTCGGTTGAGGTAACCCATTCGTACTATAACCATAATATAGCTGCAGCGTGACTCTACCACGTATAAATATCGATGTTGTGAAAGGGCAATTAAGGGAAAACAGTACGAAACGGAATGACTGATTCTTTAATACCGCCTCCATATCGTTTCAATCTATTGAAAGTCCACAAAGGCTTCCCCATAGATTGTCTTATAGGGGGGTACTCGTCATGCTTTGTAGGAGGGTAGTCAAAGAAAACTTAGCTCATAGCTCCTAGCAACTGCTCGCTTCCTTTTTTCTTTTGTCACATCTTATGACATCTAAGGGTTGATACGGGGTACTGGATATTCTTACACTGCCATCACACGGTGTAATAAAAAGATAAATATGGTAAACGGCATTCATACAAAGCTTTATTTAATGAAATAAGCGTTACAAACGAGCACACATTCCACTTGGTAAGTGGATGATGTGGCCCATAAATATCTTCATCTTTTCTCGATTATTAATCGAAATGCAGATGCATTATCATCTCTTAGGATTAGGAGAGAAAGCTACGTATACAGCAAAAAAAGTCGCCGGTGTTCTACACTCACCATACGAAAGACAGCAGTATTAAGCTGCTATTTTACGCTAGTATTTGTGAGAGCGTGGTCCTTCCTCGGCCAAGCTGACCTGTTCGTACTACAATCATACTATAGTTGCAACGTGGCTCTACCACATATCGCTAGTCGCTATCTACTATAAAGAACCTACTATTTGAATATATGCATACGTACGGAAACAGCCTGGGTATTAAGCACCACATGCAGGTTCTGTCTATTCAGCGCTGGCTTTAGGTAAGCGTCTAAGGTGGAATGTCTCATGCCACTAGTGACAGTGGCTGTCGGTCTTCGGAACACGGTGTGCTTGCCGCCGAGGGTACCTGACGCTTGCTTGAATGTCTTCATGAGTTCGTCGTCGTCGTCTATCCCTTTGAGCTGCATTGGTGCCTGGTTAACGAATTTTAAAAGTATAAGTAAGTAATTCCTTTGTGTTGTTGCTCATTTTTTTTCATTCCTTGGGGGAGGCCCATATTCAGCAGTGGACATGTTAACGTCCAGACTCGGAACAAGTTGTAGACTTGTAGACCATACAAATACTTGTTATTGTATTTATTTATGTAGTTTTTATTTATTTATTATATTATATTAATATACTAGCTGTTCCCAGAAACTCCGTGAAATTTATTACGTAATTTTTTTGCGCGAAACCCTAATTATTTTTCTAAAATAAAATGTAGCTTTAGTTGCTCATTATAACATCAGCTATCTGCCAGTGAAAGTCCCGTTGAAATCGGTCCGGCTGTTTCGGAGATAAGCCGGAACAAACAGACATACAGACAGACAAACAGACAAATTTTTTTAAAATTTGTATAGATATTTATGTACATTAATCATTTTAATTTATATATTTAGACAACCCAACCAGATGAGAAAACTATATAAATACCCGATAAATAATAATGATAATAAATAATAATCTTATTGCAATGTCACATTTACCGAAGAGCACGGAGCTCCTTTATGACAATAGGCCGAGTCGTATTCACTCATAATAGTCCCAAAAGCTTTTACGAAGTAAGGCTTCAAGTCTTGCAAGGACCATCCTTTAAATCCTTTTTGCGTCCATCTATCATAGTCTTCGGGTAGACCAAAACCGTGGAGTAGAAAGTTTATTTGGCCGGTACCTCCGAGCCCTTTGCCTCTTGGAATGATCTGTGTCTGAAAAAAAAAACAGAATATTACTTGTTTTATCATGCTCTGAGCTGATGTTATAGCATCATCCATATGATCATTGTCGTTTTTTTCATTGTTCACTCCTCTGTATTCTGTAGGCAAATCAGCACCTTAGCACCTTTCGAATTTCCCGGTCCTGCGCTATGCGTCAACACATTTTGAAGAAGTGAGTTAATACATACGGAGCACCCGAGAGAAGAGCAAAATTGTTGATTGCAATTTTAAGTGCTGATTTACCACGTGCTCGGCGGTGAAGGAAAACATCGTGAGGAAACCTGCATGTCTAAGTAATAAGACAAAAATATTTCGAAGACATGTGAAGTTCGCCAACACGCATTGGAACAGCGAGGGCGGACACTTCCTTGCCCTAAAACCCTTTTATAAATGAAAGGAGGCCTGTGCCCAGCACTGGGACGCATACAGGCTGTAACTTTACTTTAATTTTTACCGTTACGGCCTATCTAAAGTCCACAGCTGGACATGAACTCCCTTATAGATTGCATCAAAGATTTGATATAGTTGGCATGTTTGTATGGCGGGTTAGCAACCGCATTATTTTATTTATAGTTGTTATTTATGCAGACGCTGAACTATTTATATTAATTCTTTTCTATTCTGTAGCTCAGTTATCTTAAGACTTTGAGGACTCTTTTTACCTGATCCCAAAGTCCAAAGGAGGAGTACTTCTGCGGTGTAGTCCGGACTGACCAGTCGTTCGGCCCTTGCTGCGCGGCTGTTGAAGTCAGCGGGATTTTGGTAAAAAATCCCATGTGGTCTCCCGCTTCCACTAACAGAACTTTGACATTTGGGTCTTCGCTAAGCCTTGCGGCCAATACACACCCAGCTGTTCCCGCGCCAACTGTAGTGTAATAACAGAAAAAAATAATTGTCATTGATCATCCGGCCATCTTGTTATAAAATTAATAGTACTGGATGGGTTGATTTCTTTTTACAAAAAAAGGTTTTGCGATTGAAACCCGAATTGCTTATTTCATTCGAAGACGATAATAACGATTTTACATTGTACATTGTAGAGCGTAAAGTTGAGTTATTAAAATTGTCTTACAAATGTACGAGTAGCAATCAAATTTTCAGCAAATAAAAAGAGCTTTACTCTTCTGGTTTCCTTCATTAAGTGAAGCATTAAATTTGAATTGCAATCTTCTAATTATTCTCTTTCTTTCTTATTCATCAACAGATCATGCTGGTAATGGGCTTTTCCTGTTTCCTTAAAGGTGACAACGTATCTGCATTTTGAATTGAAATCGAAGACAGATGTACCTAAGTATCTATGGGCCACAGGATCCACTAATCAGGTAGACCCTTATTCATTAAAAGAAAAAACTGCGTAAATAAATCTACCTGCGTGGTAACTACCTAATAACAAACATCCAGCGATAGGAACTTATGGCAGTCTCTGGTGAGACCTTTATTCAGCAGTGAATTTTGATAGAGTGTAAACTGTTTTGTAGACCGAAAAGTTCCTTAATTCTCAGTGACATTATACCAATCATCTTCCTCACTAAGTCAGCGCCTACACGATGCATAGTAATTTCGTTCATATGCATATTGCTCTCATAAAATATGCAGGCGCTGTTAATTTGTACAACTTTCAAATGTACCGCGTTAGTTTTCTAAATTAAATTAAAAAGTTTAATGTAAACTTATAGAAATGATTAATGTTATTTCATATTTTTTGTTTATTACACATCACAATAAAAATGCACATAAGCCGGTTAAATTAATCCATCAGCTTTTAAAAATTTACGGGATGTGGCCTCACGTGTCTGTCGTAATCATTACGCTGGCAGCTAGGTTGATTATCACGGTGCTCGGTACGATTACCAGAATTATGCTACTGCCTGTACCCTTCATTTTTAGACCAAGCTTCTCTGATTATTATTCTGTCATCAAACAATGGAGACGACAGGAAATGGTATGAGGTTTTTTTTTATAGAATAGGGTGACAAACGAGCACACAGTCCACCTGATGGTAAGTGGTTGCTGCGGCCCATAGACATCTACATCTATCCTCCATTAAAAATCAAAATGCAGATGCGTTGTCACCCGTGAGGACTGAGATGGAATGCCTCGTTTCCAGTAAAAAGGGTCTCCGGTTCTCTACACGCACCATACGAAATACAGCAGCATTAAGCTACTATCTCACGCTGGTATTCTGTGAGAGCGTGGTCCTTCCCTGGTCGAGCCGACCCATTCGTGCTACAACTGTACTACTAATATAACTGCAGCATGGCTCTACCACGTATGTTTATTGGTGAAAATGCATAGGATATCATCGTAAAAGGGCAGAAAAAGGATAAATTAGAATACCACTGACCCGCAATGAGTTACTCGTAGCTAGAGGAACCGGAGTCGTTATTTTGGGTAGGTAGGAATGCCATTATATTTTTTATTCGACATATGTACTGCACGTTGACATTCTGGTTAAAGTATCGTGCTTAAAGATATTTAAATCAAAGTTAACAATGAAATATATTGGTATTTCTGGGGTTTTTGTAATTTTTGTAAATTACTACTTTTGCCTTACGGCCAGAAACTATTGCCCAGGATAGGACACTAGAATTAACGTCCCGTTATTTTTCGAAGTATTTTAAAAATATAAAAGTGCAAATCTTTTAGTGTTTGTATATCTAATTGCCGCCTCATAAAATCTGCCACCCAAGGCCATGGCTCTACCGCACCCTTGCTATGATATTGGATATGGTACAACGAATAACGTCCATGCGGCCTTTTCAAGTCCACTGCTGACAGATACTTAGCGGTCAGCCACCGCAGTCTACTTCACCTGAGGCTGCCTCGTTTAGATGCGAAAGACGTGTCGACAGTGGTGTGTCTTTCCTAGTGTTGTGGTGTTGGGAGTAGTGATGTTGATATTAGTAGTGGCGGGGATAGTGCACGCAATTGAGGGAGGGTAGATACTAGGTATTAGGTAGAGGTTAGGTACAACACATCATTTTATTTTATTACACTTAATTAATAAATTTTTAACACCTTTATTATAATGGATTTCCGCAAAGTAGTGCCTGATTCTATTAATTATATTAGATACTCGGAACATTAAAACTCCAAGTATTTGTCCAGCATAATATGCTAGGTACGTTCGGATTGATGACCGCAACACAGAAATCCTCATTGCTATCGTTACTCCCTATCAGTAGTTTATAAAGGGTTGAACGGTTTTCGACAGTTTCCCGCCAACAAAGAGCCACCAGAGCCTCTTTTTTATAGGATAGGGTGACAAACGAGCACACAGTCCACCTGATGGTAAGCGGTTGCTGTGGCCCATAGACATCTACATCTATCCTCGATAACGAATCAAAACGGAGATGCGTTGTCACCTGTGAGTACTAAGATGGAATGCCTCGTTTCCAGTAAAAAGGGTCTCCGGTTCTCTAAACTCACCATACGAAATGCACCAGCTTAAACTACTATTTTACGCTGGTATTCTGTGAGAGCGTGGTCCTTCCCCGGTCGAGCCGACCCATTCGTGCTACAACTATACTACTAATATAACTGCAGCATGGCTCTGCCGCGTATATAATAGTCCACCGTTAGTGCTTGTGGTAAAAGTTTATATTTTGATTTTATAGAATGTGGGTGAAAAACGATCACACAGTCCACCTGGTGGTAAGTGGATGCTCTGCCCATATACATCTAGATCTATCATTAATTAAGTACGTATCAAAATGCAAATGCTATGCCACCTGTGAGATGGAATGCCTCGTTTCCAGTAAAATTGTCTCCGGTTCTGTACACTATTATATGAAACACAACAGTATTACGCTGGTATTTTACTCTGATATTCTGTGAGAACGTGGTCCTTCTACGGTCGAGCCGACCTATTCGTACTACAAGCATACTATAGCTGCAACGTGGCTCTATCACGTATAAATGCTATCTCACGGCATATCTCATTCTCAATACATCCGATACATTTACATGTCTTATTCATTAAAAACTACTCATCATCATCATTATAGCCTATCAAAAGTTCACTGTTGTACATAGACCTCTCCCATATATTGTCACATAGGCACTTGCCATTCTTGCCACGTTTGGCAGGCCAGTTGGCAACCGAATATTTGTATTATTTTGAGTGGTTATCAGGAAGGTACTGCCCCCCCATTTCCTGTTTTAAAATCACTGACATTGACATAATGACATTATAAGAAGTATGGCAAACAATTTGCTAAATACCACGGCTTACGTTTATAATTGTAATTAGATTTATTAAGGAATGTGTACAACAATCACATTACCTACATAATATACAATTTGCTTACTACTTTGTTTCAAAATAAACATAAATACAGCTTTTACAGCGCGTCTTAATGTCTGGGTTAATTTTAAAAAATCTCCCACCATAACATATCCTAGTAGATATGCTCCTGTATGGTGGAGGCAGTTTACATTCATAAATTGCGCAAGGACAAACTGGATTTTGTCCTTGTATTGCACCCTGAACAACTATTTGTAGGCCATACAAATACTATTTCTTTTTATAGAAGAGGGGGCAAACGAGCATGCGGCTCACCTGATGGTAAGTGACTATCGCCGCTTACGAACAACTACAGAACCAGGGGAATGCAGATGCGTTGCCGACCTTTCAAAAAAACGTAGGCTCTTTTCTTGAAGGTACCAAAGTCTAATCGAAATTCGGAAAAATAGCTGGTAGTATTTGATTCCATAAGGAAGTTGTGCGAGGAAGAAAACTTCTTGTAAGTCGCACAGTGTTTGACAGACAATCATCGAGATGGTATGGATGGTATCTCGAGTTCTGTGACGAAGTGCGTTGGTGAAATTCAACGACTGAAAGTAATACGAACAATTCCTTTGAGCACTTCCCGTAGTAAATACGATAGAATACGCAAAGAGATGCAACATCTTTCGCAGTGCCAGTGAGTCAAGCGGATCAGAAAGTGCTCGGTCACCAACGATTCCAACCGCTCTACGTTGGATGCGATGAAATGGAAGGAGCTGGCACTGTGGTGACCCGGCCAAGAGATAAGAACAGTATTCCATGTGAGTCGGAACCTACGCCCTGTAAAGTTGCAGGCGGTGTGCCTAATCGCCAAAGTCTCCCCCTTGGACTCGACCGCCAGCGCCTATCGGTGTTTTATTTAGACAAGATCACCAGTAGTGTATGAATGGGTCGGTCGGGTCGATCGGGGAAGGACCACGCTCTCACAGAATACCAGCGTTAAATAGCAGCTTAATGCTGCTGTGTTTTGTATGGTGTGTGTAGATAACTAGAGACCGTTTTTACTGGATACGAGGCATTTCATCTTAGTCCTCAGAGGTGACAACACATCTGCAATTTGTTTTTAAATTGGGGATAAATGTAGATATCTTCGGGCCACAGTATTCACTGACCATATTATCTATCAAGTGGACTGTGTGCTCTTTTGTCATCCATATTATATAAAGAGTACGTTGGGGTAAGATCGGTGATGAGGCAAGATCGTGAGATTTAAATTTCCGGCGAATTATGTTTATCTATATTTTTAAATGTTAGCAGTGATACACGACGCCATTTCATAATTTATTCTGCCCCGACCCGAAGTACCAGCCAGTCCCTCCAGGAAATAGGGCGTGGGCTGCGTGGCATTTTATAAAACAAGGTAATTTCGGTATTTTTTTGTCCATCCGATCTTTTCCTAAGAATATTGCTTCTTTTGTTATTATTTTGTCTGAATACTAAGTTTTGTGAAGTTATAGCCAGATAAAACTGATCCAAACAGGGCTAAGATCGCTGTAGGCCGAGATCCGATATTTCCACGCGTGAGTGAAGATCGGATGGATTTTATCCGATCGGTAAAGATCTTACAAAAATGGCAGTGGTTGTTAAACTTTGAATTCTTTCGAAGATTGCTCAAGTGACTGTGGGGCTCAGTATCACTATCAAATCGATTGTGCCTTAATGTACCTAATTGAGCTTAATTTTCGGGATAGTTTTAATATTTTTAAATACACATTAAAAACATTTATAATTCTTCACATTTCGCAGCAATATGGTGATGAATTACCTCTAAAATTTGAATTTTCGAAACTGTTAATATGCTTTAACCTACGTTTTACTGAGATATTTCGCTTTGTTAAGAGTTAGGTACACCATAGCTATTCATTAACTCTGTGGCTTTCAGCAATTGATAATAACAAAACTTATTTAGAACTAATCTTCGAAACTTCAAAATTGCCACCTGTTAAAATACTTATGTACATATTCCTCTACTCCTGTTTAAAACATTACATAATTTACATTTAAAACAGTACATTTGTTTAAAAGATGAGATTTTTTTAAATTAAAATTGTCTTAGTAAAAAAAACTAAATGCATCCGATCTTTCCTTTATATTGAGTAGTACCATCTTAGGTCGTAACAAAGTTTGAGAACCACAAAATTACAATTACTTTATATCAGGAATAAGATCGGATGCCACGAAAAAAAAAGCAAAGCAACTTTTGGCACATTTGTCTCCAGTAAATTACAAAACATACTCACTTAAATATGTTTTTGAGCAGTAAAGATAAGACAAACCTCTTTTATGAACTTTATTCTCTAAGCAGTAGAAGTGGTTTTAATTTTACGTCCGGTCTTACCTCATGATGGCCAATTCTTCATCATGCATATAAAAAATTATATCTTGTCTTCCACACGTTTTAAGCAGAAAGAGTTTACAAGAGAGTTGAGTTTACAAGAGTAAAAGCTTCTTATAGTTAAACTCCATTTAACCATTAACGATTCGCGCCATGTTCCAGAAATTTCACGTGTATGGATGTCGAGAAAATAGAGATTTTGCTGGACTCTTTCAACTAGTCGAAAATCCGTCAGTTATTACCGTAATGCACCTTATCTTTCGACGGCAATGGTATTTAAAAGAAGTGTTTAAATAAGACAAGGGCAATACCTTTTTGTATAAGGTTTGTGTTTAAATAGCCATTATAGTAACCCAATTAAACCAACAAAAACACTATTTAATTGATTGTCCAAAATTAAAATCATTATCATTTAATATCATATTTGATTAGTCCAAATAATCAATTATGAACTCTAAATAATGCAAACTTCGTATCTATAATAAATTGAAAGTTGACTTACCTATAATATAGTCGTATCTTTTATCGGGTTTTGTAACTATACTGGAGTACGTATTCACATAACTCGTGTACACATAGTAGGAAACAATTGCGACGATAAAACCAAAAATATACGAACTAATCATCATTATCTCTACCGGCATATAAAGACCTCTAACTAATGTAAGACTAGGTTCCGTTACTCAGTATAAGGAAAGTAACAACGCATAATTGAATTAGGTAGGTGTTTCCAACCTTTTCAGTTATTGGTTCAAAGCTTTGCACGTGTTTACTGTTTCTTTTACAATAATCAATATATCGTTACGTATACTATTTAGATAAAAATTTAAGTTAAAAGTAAATAATATATCTACTGTGCATATATTCATGTAAGAACAAAACTAAATCACGTTACGATGTAATGCGCAAAATATATTATTATGAATTAAAAATTTAAAGAAAAATGTTTACGACATCTGATAATAGACTTAAGAGGATTAAAGTCTACCGGGTTGTAAAATCAATACTTCTTTTATATCAGGCAATATAATAAAATGAAAATTGTGTATAGGAAAACATTAGGTTTTAGAGCGACGTAGCCCATTATAATATATCAAGGTGCGGACAAGGTGTTAAATATAATGCTGAGAGTTTTAATCTAACTAATTTGCACATAATATAGCTTTTAACCAGAAGCGGTTAAAATTTGACTACTGAGTCGATATCGTGGTCGAATCCCAGCCAGAGAGAGAGAGAGAGAAGAGAGGGAGACTGAAACAGATGGTCCGTAGCATCTTCGTCATAACAACTAAGAATAACAAATAACTGATGAAGATCCGCCTAGACAGGACAGGACGCTAGACAGCGTGGTAACTGTGGCATAATCTTCCCTATGGGAGGAGATTATTTTATTGATTTTAAAAGCTGGATGAATATGGTGGTAGCAAGAGTCCACCCCATATTTCATCACGTGGGCCTCTGAAAAGACACTATGGGAACTATTAGAAAGGTCTCAGTTTCCAATATATGACAGATGATGACTATGACGTGGAGTACAATACCTAGTGGAAAAGCATGCGGGCATTACCTCACTCATGATTTCAGGCTTAAGCTGAACGCACATTTGACTGCACCGTACGCACCGCATTTTGCGGATGGCCTCGCACATTTGTACATACGCGCCGTACACATTTCTTTTGTATTGCCAACAACTTAGACATTGATCGCTCGGATCGCTATGGAAAAAATTGTTGTAATAGCCTAGAGGAAGAAGAAAATAAAATTCGAAGAAAAGAAGATTCTGGATCCATAATATTAATTTAAAAAGGCAGCTTTATGGAAAATATTAACTTTATTTAAAGACTTATTAGACGATTTTTCAAATATTTGCATTTACACATACAAGAAATTTCAAGAATTGGTACATATACTAAGAACATATCTCTCCGTCTCCGCCTCAGTATATTTACATTGCACCACCTACCTAGTTGTTGTTGTTTTATTTCTTTAAACCTTTGTTTGTCTGTATGAGATCGCTATATAGCGATAAGGCCGCCAAATTCTGCTTTTTGTTTTGTTATCTGTATATTTGTTTGTGGTGTACAATAAAGTATATTTATATACGGAAAACTCAAGATTTAGAAGGCCGATTGAACCAGAGAAGATACTTGTTGTATGTTTTATTGATAATTAAGCATTCAGGTATAATTGGGGTTTTGAATAAAAACTATTATCAAATATTGATAACCGATGCAATTTTTTTTCTAATTATATATAATTAGTTACGTATTAAGTTATAAAAAGTTGTATGACGACTCACTATTGCCTACATAGTAAAGAAAAATGTTTCTGAAATTAAGTAAAAATATATTTCGAAATGAAAGTAAAAACCACCAATTTTAAAATAAAATCTTCTAATTTGGCAACATTAGACAACACTGAGTAACAGCACGCCCCGAACGCGCCGCTTTATATGTCGTTATCAGTATTCATCCTTCAATATTCGGATACCTGCAGCATTTTATTAAATGCGGCACGTACGGTACGGTGCGGCTGTAATGTGCGAGGTTTCATAATAGGATTTAATAACACGTAAGGTGCTGACAAATGTGCGTTCAGCTTTAGGTATGAGGCGGCCTTTTCGCTAGTCGCAGTTATTCTATGATTATGTAGCAATGTCACGTTGTTTTTGCGCCAGCGAAATTTACCTTTCTCCCTTTAAGGCAAGGAATTCCTCCCTTCTCACGGCATGCATAAGCGTCCAGCACAAAGTAGCGTGTGACATTCCGCGGATGTGGACTAAAAGTTACTTTCTTTGAAACATTGATATCTTTTATCAAGTCTAAATGTTTGAAACATTTAGGCTTAGTAAAAGATATCGATATTTATTTTGAAGTATCGAATTCGTATAAATTTCGACAATTTTGATATATTAAAATGTTGTATTTATCAACAAAACATTAAGCAACAAAAGTAGCTACAAAAGCATTCATGAGCTGTTGTCTGTCAGTGATGGCTGTGTTTTTTCGTCGTCCAATCATATATATATTATACCATTTTTGCCCTTATACTACTAAATCATGCAAAACATGACAATATATCGATATTTATCACGCGCTATATATATCGACACTGTTTAAAAATATCGATATGTTATACATCTTTCGTTTGCCCATACCTGTAAATATTTTTGCTTATTATCAGGAAATATTCTTAATAATAATGTAGGCGACGTAGAATCTAACCAAATAACATGCCTTTCATATTTTCGAAATATATTATGTATGCTTATTGTTGAAGCGCCTGCGTCCTTTTTTCGAGCAACGAGTCTAACAACATACATAGTGGCAGTAATTATGAGTGGATCACTTTAATTTTAGACAAACACTTGTCGCTTCAAATTCAAAAATAAACGAGAACTCGAACGTCAGTTTTGTTCCGGCAATTAAACAATAAGTATTCTTTTTATCTCGATTAAAGTTTTTTATGCAGTAATACAGCGGTAACCCTCGAAAAAGGTTGGTCATCTGGACTATGTCGAAAAGTATACTTTTTATTTTCTGGGCATTAGTTAAATATTAAACCAGCGGTCTGGTGGTCTTGCCCAAATTTTTCTTAAACGAATTTACCCTTTTTTTTGCAAAATTGATGCTCATGTAAAAAGTGTAATTTTTTATCTTATTTTGATAGTGTTTGATGAGTAAAAAATTTAAATTCGAGTCTCGCAGCCTTATTCTGGACAAACTGTTGCCAGAGCACCCTTTAAATATTTATTCTAATGATAAACTTTCTATTTAAGATATAATAACAAATGAAATTAAGCAATTTAAAATGAACTCTTTTCAATAAAATTAGCATAGGGACGGTATAAGAATATCAACTACCGCATATCATCCCGTGGATGTCGTAAGAGGCGACAGAGGGAAACAAATCAGGAGATGAACAACAGCATTTTCCTAATAACGACTAAAAAAAAAACTGCGGTTGCCTAGCGTGGCAACTATGCCAAACTCCCCCTATGAGGCAATCTAAGGGGGACACCTATGTTTAGCATAGACTTTAATAAGCTGTAACGGTAAAAGATATAGAAAATTTATAGTGAGATAACAGTTAAATATTTTAAGGGTGGTCTGGCAAACAGTTCTGTCAAGAATAAGGGTGCCAGAAAACAGTTGTATCAAGAATAAGGGTGCCAGACTCGAATTTTTATTTCCAACTGATTGAACACCAAAATCAAAAAAAATAATTACATGTTTAAGTTTTATTTATCAATTTAAAAAACACTAATTAAATAAAACGAGTGTGCTTATGACCACACAACTATATATATATATATATATATATATATATATATATATATATATATATATATATATATATATATATATACATCCCGTAACTTATTGTACGTCCACTATGGCCAATTTTGCATATAATGTGGCGTCAACCTGCTTACGACGTCCAATATACGGACGTCAAATAGGAGACTTAGCGCAATGTTCGCAAATTGTCATGCTGATCACAGAAATGTCAAAATCTAAAAAAAAATTAGACGTCATTTTTCTTCCAATCTTGCTGTACTGAATATTTACGTAGTTCCGCTAATTTTCGTTGCAAAAATAATAGCGCTGCTGTCGATTTGTGAATACTTTCATTTATGGCCGTATTTGACTTCCGCACAAAATTAGAAGATGCGACGTTGCCGTTCCGTCACCGTTGCCAACGTGTTTCTTGTATTTGGTGATATATGGTAATGACTGCCTCGTTGGTCTAGTGGTTGTAGTAGTGCGACTGCTGATCGTGAGGTCCTGGGTTTTTCTGTCAAGAAATTCTCAATATCTGCCCGGAGTCAGGAAGTTGGCGGTGTATCACCCTCGTGCCTCGTAAGCACGTAAAGCCGTTGGTCCTGCGCCTGATCTCTCTCCGGTCGTGTCGGTTTACCGTGTCATCGGATTATGAGAATGAGGGAATAGAGAGTGCACCTGTGGTTGCGCCTACACTTGGGCACTATAATCCTGTCCTGCGCCGATGGCTAGTCTTCGTTGAGGCAGGCCGCCGTAACCGTAATTCGGTCTGCAGGGCATTAATATATGGTTTATACTGCGCTTGGTACTAGTAGTTTTATTTTTAAACTTGTTTTCTTAACTTTACGTTTACCTACACATAATATGGACGTCCGAATATCCTAAAACTTTCATACAGAATGATATTTGACACCCGTATTTTTAAATTTAGTTATATTTTTATAAATGTCTGAGATACGGAATGTTTAAGATGCGGACGTCGGCTTATCGGTTTATTTCATGCTGCACTATATTTTAACATTTTACATTTGGTACTAATCTGCCTAAAAGAACTCTTGTTAGGTATTCGTAAGCAACCCATAATTCTGTTTGAGTATAAGTTACCTTCTGATTGAGTACAGGAAGATGGACTCAATTGTAGATATTGACAGGTTTCATAGAAGTTTGTTTTATTATATTGTGACTAATAACCTTACTAATAACAATATGCTAGAAACTCATTTTAATATAAGGGTTAACTTATTGTTAATTTCTACAATAGACCGTGGCATATTGTTGCTGACATAACTCCGAGAATATAATTTATTTACTTGATCGTGTTGAGTTTTGGTGCTCTCACTGCA